TTATAGGATTAAAGCAGGCCCCCGATATAGCCCCGTAGCGGCACTTATAGCGGTATATAAGCGGTATCTTAGACGTATAGTAGGAGCCTATAAGACTGTACCTATTAGGTTCCTTAAAAAGAAGACCTTTATCTCCCCCCTTAATCTATATCTTTCAAGTCTTAGTGCTCGGAAAGTCATCCGGATCTAGGAAAAGGGTACCGAATATAAGATAGTAGCTAGGGTATTTACCGTGGCGAGAGCCCTCGCGGCACCGAATTAATACTATAAGATATAGCCGGCCCTTATATAGACTACCTAACTAACCGTCTTAATAACCTAGGCCAGGGCAGTACCCTTAAGGAAAGCTCTTATAAAGGTATAATAATAAGCTCTAACCAGGTAAATCCCTGGCTAGCCAGCACCATCGGACCTAAGGAACCCAGGATTTGGGGGGCAACCTTTACTATAGTAAAAGAGGTGTAATAAAGATATCTTGATCTAACTAAGGGGGCGCGCCCCCGGGGCTTAAGTATTCCACGGGTAAATCCCGTGGAATCCTCGGTTTCTATATATAGGAACCCGGGGGATTCCTCGGTATTTACTAATTACACCCTAGGGAAGCTATAATATACCCCAAAGGTACCTATAGCGTACCCCGTGGGTACTATACCTTATGCTATAGTACCGCTAGGGTACCCTGTAGTATACCGTAGTATACGCGGTAGATTCTAGGGCGTATTATATAAGGCAGAACTTAAACGGAGGCGAGACGTTCCTAGTTAAGGCGAGGATATTAGGATTCCTATTAATACCGTACCTCTACGGCGACAAAGGTGTAGAGATAGCGGAGTATATAATATTTTAGTATTAGGATATAATAAAGGAGGAGCCTAAAGACCTTTTCGTCGTTATAGGGAGACCGCTTATAACTAAAGAAGACTTATATAACGTACTAGAATACGATACCGAAGCTGGAATAATAGCTAAGTAGTGCTTATAACCGAGGAGGCCCAACGATTTCCGGCTTACCCCTATGATTACGAACGCCTACGAAAACTCGGTAGCACTATAATAAGGCAGGAGGGATATAACCATCATTATCTAATTAAATAAGGGCTCGATAAACCAGGGCCCTAGCGGTACTAAAATAACTACTCCTTATTATCTTCTTTCTCCTTACCCCCCTTAAAGGTACTAACTCCGTTATTAATATACTTAAGACCCTAGAACGGTTAGCCGACTCTGTACTACGCGGAGGCTATAAAGAGACCGTATCGAGGCAACTTATATAATAATCTTATAGGAGACCCACTATACTCTTGACGCGCCGAATTCGGCGTATATCATGGATATACTAAGAAAGGGACAATAAGATATACTTAGCTTATCGGGTTAATAATACTAGATATATCACGGACTAACCGGTTATTAGTACAGCACTATATTCATAGTATAGCTAAGGATAGTATCTATAAGAGTTATATCCATAACCTAAAATGGCTTATTTAGTAGGAGCAGATATACTAGGAATTAATAAGTTATCGTCGCAGTATCGCTATTTTATAGCTAAAAGATAGGATTTATAAGACTTATATCTATAACCTAAAAAGGCTTATCTAGTAGTAGCAGACACACCTAGAATTAACAGGTTATTGCTATAGTATTGCTATTATATAGCTAAGGGATTGTAGCTATAAAAGATATCGCCACGACCTAAAAGAGCCAAGGCTATATATAGATTCCTAGATATCAGGCTCTTGAAGGTTAGATATAGGGCCACTAGGAGTTAATAGGAGGTTAAGAATTAAGATATTAGGTATAATAGTCTTATATTAAGGGAGTCAGGCGGGGATAGATAGGAGGATTCTAGTTAGACTCCGGATAGCTATAAAAGGAACGCCCTAGGGACCTCTTTCTAGAAGCGGGTTACGAATAATCTAAGGCCTTAAGACCTATCACCTATAGACTAACCAGTGTTCACTTAGGGCGTTTCGGTTACTAACTCTCATTCCACTCTATACAAGAATACCTTTAATAGCGTAATACCCCCTATAACTCCTCTAATAAGGTACCGCCACGGCCGAGACCGGAAGGTAACGCCCAAGAGATAGCCTATCTAAAGGATAAAGCCGCCGTCTTTAGGCGCTCCACAGCTTATAGAATACTAGACTATTAGTATAGCACTACTAGAATACCGAAGGGGGATTACTTAGTACAGCGATACCTACGCTACCGGCGGCCTTAGCCGTTATATATACTAGATAGACTTCTATAAAATGCTGCTATTACTTTTTAGTAGTCGGGGGATCCAAAGACCTATTAGACCTATCCACCCCGGCACCCTAATAGCACTCCTACGGTAAACTAATAACTTATATCCTTATAAAGACGCCGGCTATTCGTATACTAAAAGTAGGCGACACCTATACTCGTAGTATTGGAATAGGCTTCGATGTTATTAGGGTATAACCCTAGGCGCTTACTATAATACAGGCACCTACTATAAATTAACCGACACGATACTATATTAACACCGTAAGGGCATATATACAGTATTATATAGGTTACACCGCGCGTATAGCGGCGGTTACTATTATTACTAGGAGGTATCTACGGTAAAAAGCATAGTACTACTAAGGCACTACCACGCTACTAAACCACTTATAACTTAAGATTATTAAATTTATCGTTATTATTATTATTGTATCTATTATTATAGTATTACCTAGTTAACCCTATATTACCGTAGCGCCACCTATAAGCCACGAACTACGTACGACATAGGGAAAAAAGAGGAGAACTAGGCATAAACAAATAAACAAATAGAAGACGTTACTAGTTAGTATAACGCCGTGACGGCAGGCCAATAAGGCTATAAACAGGAACGTAGCGCGAGGAAAAGCCTATAATAAGCTCTAAGGCGTTATAGGAAGAAAAAAAGAAAAGTAAGAGGTCCTTATTATTGATTAACTATGTATACGGATACGGGCGGAGCCCTGCCCTTTCTGCCTACCGCCGGATAAAGAAGGCACCTACCACTAAGGGAGGCAGAAACACCTATCTTATCTTTTCTCTTCCTTAATTAAATAGAAGGAATAATAGGAACGGTCCCCGGGGATATATAGAGGCCGGATATAGTATACTACGGCTACTATATAGCGGAGGCGCCGCGGTACCCCTATAGTCCCCCCGCCCCCTCGCTAAGGACCGGTCTAGGCTAACCCGAACTATAGTCTACTACCCTTCCTATTAGCTATTAGCCTAAAGGTATAACAGATACGCAGAAAAGACGAACCAGGGCTATATCGGCCCCGTAGTAGAACTACTCAAACTAAGGACGAGTATAAAGGTTTTCCTCTTTATAGCCACCCTAGAAGGACTATAGAGTCCAAATTAGACTCCTATAGACTAGATAGGATAGCGGAGTAATAATAATAATCATAATAACGTACCTATCTACCTACCGAATAAATAATTAACCGATAAGTAAGCAAAGATATCTTTTAACGTATCCAACGCCGAATAGAAGGCCACTACCCTTATTAACTAGAGGGATTACATAGTGTGGAAGCGCGCTATACGCGGTAAATCTGCCTCCTACCAGAATAACTATCTTAATTTAAAGCTATGTAATAAGAAGGCCGATACGTACCTGCTCCTTAAGCCTACACTACCTACAAAGCCCTTATCGTTAATCCTAACGCGACTAAGGAGGCTACGGCTACTCCGTCTTCTATTATTACTCCGTTTTCGACTATCATGCTAAAAGGCGATAACTAGTATAAGAGTATACCTTCGTAGATATAAAAAGATTATACCTCTTAGTAGTTAGGCTGGTTATAGCCTACTACTCCGTAGTCGTTTATAAGATAAGGGCCGGCTCTTAGCACGGCCCCTTAGCGGCACTTATAGCAGTATAGAACCGGTGCCTCCGACTAGTACTAGGAGTCTATAAGGCTATACCGGTTATAACTAAAACCGAGTAAGGACGTTCTAGCTAAGGATTATAAACAGGATATTAAATAGATAAGGAGGTTAATCTAGATATATCACGTAGCTAACCAAAACAGAACCCATAACACTACAATCTTCGAAGAAGATATAGAATCAAAGAGCTTAGGCTAACTAAGCCAACGTAACTTAATCTAGACTAGTACCTTAATCGTAGCAGAAGATATAATAAGAAAGGATAATAATAGATAACATAGTCCGGAACAGTCTAGCTACTATCCTATTATATAGGTAGGTGGCCGCGCTATCCCAGTCTTCGGCTATATAACTAGCTACTAGAACTATACTAAACCGTATATACGCGGTTATACTACGGCCCTAGTTATCTCGACTACGCCCTTATAGTATAGATAACTCCTAAAATAAGGAGATATAAGTAAATAAACTAACTAAAGAGCTATTATATACTCTTATTCCTCTAATCACCCCGTCTTCTATATATACTAAGTTAGGGGTCCTCTAAGTTCTAGTTCCTCCGTATATACTCTTCCCTGGCTATCCTTACTAGTTAAATCCTTAAGACGCCCTTTATTAAGTCCTCTATATATACCCTACTTACGCTTCCTTAAAATCCTCCCTCCGACTATATTTCCCCTAGTTTTTCCCTATAGTTAGACATTCCCGTGGGGTACTGCGGACTTCACTTATATAAATACACATATATAATTCCGTACCTTTATTTGTGTTCTGATATTCCTTGTTAGAAGGAGTAGGCGGCTACCGGGGCAGTACTTTTGGTTCCCCGAGTCGGTTCTATAGGGTATATATCATGTATGTCACATAGTCCTTTTTATAGTACTATTTAAGGTAGATAGACATTCCCTTAGAGTACCTTTAAAATATCCAAAGAATAAGAATCATGAGTTCGCGTAACGATATTCTTGTTCTGACATTCCTAATGTTAGACATCCCCGTGAAGTACTACGAACTTCACTTCGATGAATAGGTACACATACATAATTCCGTACCTTATTTGTGTTCTGACAAATCACAATAGGCACCATGGTTTATCTCCAACCAGCCACTCGACCCTCGTCCCACCGATTCTTACGTTCCTGGCGAAGATAATACAGAGTCTTTGCATCTTTATATCCGCGAATCCAGTCCACGACTTCTCTCTCCAAAGCAGTCGATCCGACCACGCTGTTCTCTATGAAACTTTCCTGCATGGCAGAACATACAGCTGCCTGCTCATGGACCCCTTGTGCCAGACGTTGGTAGAGAGAGGCAGGAGAGAAGGGGCCTAAGACGACATCCATATTAGACTGCTTTTGACGCCACTGCCTCTCAATTGCATGTGTCGAAAGGAGCTGGGTTTGCGTCGAAGACCGTTGATGGTTGATCTTCGATTCTAGTTCGATCAATTGAGCAGCGAGCTCGATATTCTTAGTCAATGCAGCGTCCAGGGTAAGATGAGAGTCAAAACGGGATTCGTGAATGGTGCCTGGTGATTCGGTGAGAGCGTTTAGAAGCGCAGGTTGTGCCAGGACATTGGCTAGGTCTTGCGTCCTGCACCCATACGGCCGTCAACATTGGATCCCGACTTCCGCAACTGAAAGCATGAAGACGCAAGAGCACATACGATTTATCTCGAACGACATTGGGAAGCCATCCATCACCTCGGCTCGGAATTTGCGACACATAATCACCTTTCTGGCCAGCTTCCGGAGGACATGCCGACACCTCGAGGGTTGATTCGATACTGGCACTGACGGCTGTCGCTGTCTTCTTGGTAGACGTTCCTATGACACTGGAATCGTGCCGTCGAGCTTTGGGTGGGATGACGGGTGGACCCAGTCCATTCATGGCCAACCGAAATAGGGAGTCAACCAAGATAAATGGTGTTTTTCTAGGACAGCCACAAAAGATACCAGGTATTTTGCAGGAAGAGGACCTAACGGCTCAAGATTACCATGACCGGATGAGAGTGAAGTAACGAATACGAGGGAGATTGTTACGGGTTGTACCCGGTTAGTAAACCCCGGCACGAGGCACCGGGTGTCATATAAAGATACAGCGTAACTGGAACCGTCAAAAATTGGGGTCAAAATTGAAGGGTAAAATGTCGAATACTGCGTAACCGTAAAGGGTAAATACGATAAAACCGGTCAGATCGAGAGGTTCCAAATTGATTATATTAAAGCCGTTAACTGTCGCATTAGCACGAGCCTCGGGGGTGGGCATAGGCCTCGGGGATCAGGAAATAATAAGGGTGGACCCACGGTAAAACACCGGATAGTATCCAAATAGAGCAGTACTTCCGGAGGAGTAGTGCGCTTATAAAAATAGGGTAAACGGTCTCCCACACATTATAACTTAATATAATATGCACACGCGAAGATTTCCCCTAAGTTAAAAGAGTGTATTTATCGTACGATAGTTATAAGCCCGGAATATAACGCTTAAAGGTATTTAATATCTTCCCCACCTTTAAGCTATTCTTTTTACCCTTCCACTATAAAAGTAACCACGTTATAAGCACTTAATCGACTATGGTTAATCTAATTAGGGTAACCTCTTCGCTTAAGTAATAGAAAATATCCTCTAATATTCACCGCGATTACTAGATTCTAACTACCTAGAAGGACTGGATTATATAGGAACGTAGTATCCGCGGGAAGTTCTTCTCTTTTTAGAACGATTACCTTAATCCTTAACTAGATAACGACGAAGTAGAAGCCTCCCTGCTACTTAAGCCTACGCTACCTAATATTCGAAAATACTAAGCTAAGACTATAAAGGTTCCTAAGTTAATAGAAGACCTCTCCGCCTAAAGAAGAACGCGATACCTTTAAGACCGCCCCGTATATCGCGAAGAAAAGGCCGACTATAATAGTTGGTAATAAGAACTTAATAACCTACGCTCCTATATCCTGGCTGTAATCTACGCCCCTCTTAGCGACCTCCTTAGGGCGTTATAAGAAGATTAAGTAAATAATATAAGGGCATAGACTATTACCCTTTACGAGTACGTAGTTCCCACACCTATAGATTAACGCCGTTAGACTTTATAATACTACTAATACCTGGTTACACTGTTAAAGACTATACTAAAGGATATAGATAGGTAGATCTCGACTTAGAAGGCTATCTTAATAGAATACTAATAGACTAGGGTTATTAAGATAGGTTTTATAGAGTATTAGGTAAAAGATACCCTCGCGGCGATATATACTGTTACTTAGGAGTAGTATTATATCTACTTAGTAACGAATAGGCAGAGGATTAATAATAACGGGCTATTAATTAGGGACCTCGTGTAGGACTTTAAGGTCCTGTTTAAGTCTATATGAAATATCTAGTCTCCCTTGTAGATACTATATATCTGTAAGGGAACTAGAACCGAACTATTCGTACTGCTATTATCATAGAGATACTATCGCTATTACTACAAAACACCGCTATCGCTACAGAACTATCGGCACTGCTATTACTATACAAATACTATCGCTATTACTACGAGCCTTCGGTATTACTATAAGCCTCGGCACCGCTATTACTCCGGAGATACCACTAAAGCCCTGTCGTCTTTTTAACGATAGGCATATAAAAGATACCTATTAACGGCTACGCCCGCTGGAGATATAACTAACGGCTACGCTTATAGAGGGTAGATTAAACGGGCGGCGATTAACCTAATTGGAGTAATTAGAAGCCGGGGATTAAGGTTAAATTAAATGATTAAAAGTATTGGTTTAAGAGCGTTTTTAAGATCCTTTTCGAGGATTAGTTTTAAGATAGACTATTTTTAAAATAGAAAGAATTAAGAGCTGTTCGGTTTAAACCAAGGCCTCTGATTGACTAGTCGGCCCGGATTAATCCGCACTAACTAGAGGGGTGTATCGTATTAGTATAAGCCTCGGGGGTGGGCATAGGCCTCGGGGATGAGGAAATAATAATGGTAGACTGATAATACGCCCTAGATTCTACTAGGAACGCCAGGGCGTACTACGGGAGTACCACGGGCGTACTATAGTATAAGCCATAGCACGGACAGGGTATACTATAAGTACCTTTAGTGTATACTATAGCTTCCCTAGGTTATACCCGGGTTTCTATATATAGGAGCCAAGGATTCTACGGGGTTTACCCGTGGAATACTTAAGGCTTAGGGGCGCGTCCCCCTTAGCTTAGAGAAGATATCTTATTTTATTACCCTTTACGGCACCCTAAGGTTACCCTTTTAGAAAAACCTGGCTCCTAGGTCTAAGAGTACTAGCTGGCTAGATATATACTAGATTAGGGTATATTAAATAGTAGTAACTAAGTTTCACGCGAGGTTTATATACCGCCGTCTTATAAAAGCTACACGACGCCGCCGCGTCCGCTATAAGTACTATATAAAATAGCTTAACCGCTTATCGCTAAATAAAAACTTTTGATATTACTAATAATATCCTTCGAGTATATCCTTCGAGTACCTTCGTACTCGAACAAAGGATAGCTTCCCTGTAAGCCTAGACAAGGCATTACGTCTTAGACAAAGGATTACGTCTTAGACAAAGGATTACGTCTTAGACAAAGGATTACGTTATTATTACGATCTCGATCCCTTTACAAAGAAGGAAAGAACAAAGGATATTAACCCGTCTCCTCAGTTCGGTTCTTCCTTCCTTTATTCTACTTCTTAATCGTTTTTTAACACAATCCAAACGCGCGCAGAAACCCTATATTATAATCCCATTGTTACTATCTATTTTTCCACTGCTTTTCGTGACTTTCGTCCCTTCCACTTGTCCGTAATCTTCAAAAAAACGCCTCCCCTTTAATAGGTCTAGGCGTGGAGTATATAAGCGAATTATTATCCTTAGGTCGTATACTCTTAAACGGTATCTATACCGCCTTTCTAATAACTACTAGTCGTAAAAACCCTAAAGCTCTAAATTATAATTAACGCTAACCCCGCTAATAATATTCCCGGCCCCCGGGACCTTAAGGGAATAGAGAATATCGTTAAGATAGGTAACGATTATCCTAATCTTACTAAGGAAGCCCTTTCGCCCGAGGTTTATACCCTAATTCGCGTTACTAAGTAAGCCTATAATCTCCCTAGCTTACCTAACGCTACTAGCGCCTTAACTTCAGGAGGAAGAACCACGGCCGCGATATTTACCGAGGAACCTATATACCGACTAATATAGATCTTAACGCTAGCAAAATTTATTAGCGCCGTGGCTAAGTAGCTAAGTAAGGAGCCTTATTACCGGGAACTCCTTATAAGGCCCGGCTAAGCTTAGGATCTTAAGGGAAAATAGCCTATCCGTCCCTTTACTATTAGTCCTAAACTTTTCACTATTAAACCTAAGCCTAATTATAATAATAAAGGGGCGGGGCTAAGCTTACTTCCCTTACGCCTTATTATAAGTATAATAATCGGCGGATTCCTAGAAGATAAAAGGGATATACTACGCTCTTTTATCGAATAGCGTATTAATTAATAGTCTAACTTATTTTTCTTATTAATACTAACTACTAATATTATTTCCGATATTACTAACCGCTAATCTTTTATTATAGACCGCTATACTACTAAGTCTACCTATTATTCGCTAATTATAAATAATGAGGATAAATACTATAACTTAACCTTATCGGATATTATCTATATTTCTATAACCGCGAATACCGGAGGAAACTCCCGAAGTCACGGAGACTATACTAGTCTTAGCGGTATATAAGGCTACGCCGCTAATAGTAGAGTAAGAGTAGGAATAGTAGTTATATTATATTCTATACCTCGCTCGGGACAATATAGTCCTTAATAAAGGTTTCGGCCTATAATCCTACTAAGGCGGGGAGTACTATAGTATATCCGCGCTCTAAGAGTATCAAAAGTTTTTATTTATCGTGTAAGAAGTTGTTATATATACATGCCATGTTAGGAGTAAATAGGCGCTTCGCGAGATATTTATAACCCTACATCTAGACTATTTCCTATCGAATGAACTATAGTCTTTTTCAGTTATATAACGGGCCGGATTACTAAGATTATAATCCGAGTAGACGCTTTCAGAATCTGCACTATATAAAATACGGTGGTAGCGGTTCCCTAACGGTCCGAGACAGTTATAATTGTATATAAATGCCTTTATTAGTTTTGACTCATTTTATGACGATTTTGAATATGCGTTATCTAATAATTAAGAGTCTTACTTGATAAATAAAAGCCCTACCCTTTACCTTTTACTATCAATGATTAAGAAACTATTTAGCTGCGCCGATATAGCGTGTTAATCTATAAATAACTATTAAGATACCGGAATATAAGCCTATTACCTATAAATCCTATCGCAATTAGGAGCTCTAGAGTAAACACTACGAAGCTACGGCCGTTAATAATAAAGTCTAGGAATATCTACGCCCTAACGATCTAATTTCCCCTCCTTAAAGGCCTGTTTTGCCTTCATACGCTAACTTCTAGCCTTCGCACGTAACCCTATAAGCAGAAGCTACGCCCTCGTAGTGGTTAGATCTAATACCTACTAGCTAGTGCGCCTACGACTCGGCGATATAATACTCGAAAATATAGAGAGATAAATATGCTAGGTATATTACCAGTATTAAAGCCGTTTTAAACTAATAGACTAATACTATCGATAAAAGCCGTAAGCTGCTACTACGTAATCCTACGCCTAAAGAGGTATTTAAAGCTATCCGCCGAGATACCGCTTCCTATATAGCGACCCGCCGCGTTATTACCTACGAAGAGTATAACGAATACGTCCGTAGCACGCTAACAACTTTAAAGAAGCTATAGGAGTGGCTATCTAGATAGTAGAAGCTGCTACTACGCCTTAAAGAGGTCTAATCGAAGCCAGTAACGTATATATAGATAGTAAGCTTCTTTAGAGGGATACGTGTAATAACTAGGCGCGACTAGACCGAAGCCGAGGGACGCCTTTTAGATAAGAAAGTAATCCTCCCCGAGGACCTTTATACCCTTGGTTAATAATATATTAAGACTAGACTTAAAGATTAAGGAAAACGTGGTAACCATCGCGCTATTATATTCCCGGCACTATATACTAGAAGCAATAAGGGCGAAGTTACCTTAGGTGCCACGGCTAAGCCTAAGAAGGGTAGCTGTGGGAAGAATAGAGCTAAGAATCCCTTTATGGCTAGATCTATAGCTATACCTTCTACTGCTTTAGCTAACCGTTTCTCTTCTTAACGCTGCTAATGCACTCTATAAATAGGGTAGATATACTACGTATACACTATGCCTAGTTATAATATTAACGCCTGCTTCTATCTATTTCCGGAAACGGTATATAACGACTAGTCTCCTTTCGAGAGCACTAAAATAACTATCTAACGGATCCTTAAATATAGCCTACGATATGCGCGGAAGTAGAAGAACTAAGTACCGTAAAGAAGGTGAAGAAGGATATAAGCCGGGACTCTATATAGCTTAAAGAGGCGTGACTCGACTATAGTAGCGTCCGTAGCGGTTTCTCCTACGCCGCTAGCTTTATAGCAGAAACCGCTATTACTAGGTATTCTTTTCGAGTCTCTACTATCCTTAGTTCCGGCGCTATAATCTATATCTTTAACGATTTTTCTCGTTTTTCTGATTTTACCCTAGCCACGAAGGAAGACTATGTAGTCGTAGGTAGCTTATCGCTGCCTATTAAAAGTTACGGTAATATGACCGTAAATTTAAATAAACTAATAGGAGGCCTCGATTTTAGACTACTAAACGTCGTATACTATGAAGACTTTACCTATAATTTAATCTTAAACTAACGGTTACAACTACGAGGATACTAGTAGGATTAGAAGCTATTAGCCAACTATCTTCGACGTGCTAACAGATTAATACTATACTAGCTAAGTCATTACTTCGATTAAACCGTTATTAAATTCATGCCCTCTAACTAATCTACGGCTGCTTTTCTAGGCTTTTCTTCTACCCGAAAATCGACGGTATTATATTTAAGCACTACGGAGGGTATCCTATAGTCTCTACGGCTAGGGCGCGCTGGCCCTAAGCCTCTTAGGCACGTAGAAGAGTAGACATAGGGGGTTAAGATTAAGGGACTAATAACTATTAAATACGTGGCCTACGAGCTTATAAAAATAAAACGGTATATTAGTAAGTACCCTCGCACCGTACCTACTTATATAGGGGAATAGTAGGTAATCGATTTCATGGATTTTAACAAAACGTCCGACGGCGATTCAAGGTTTATATTTTTCACCGACTGTTATAGTGGCCTTATAGCTACCTACGTTATAAAGAGTAAACTAGTAGCGGATATCCTCGTAATAATTAAGGAATTTCTTGCCTAGGTAGACCGTTAATTAGGATATAAGGTACGCGTTTTCGAATCTAATAATTAGCTAACTTGATCCTATGATATAACCTAATTCCTACGTGAAGAAGGTATCCTTTTATAGGTATCCGCCCCCGATACTTAAGCGTAGAACGGGGGTGCCGAACACGCTACTGCCGTGGTGACCTGAAAGAGTCGTGTGATAAATATCCACGTAAAGCTCCCGCCGTTTATATAGCCTAAGGCTATTCCCACGGCTACGTATATCTATAACCGCACGCTACGAAGATAGTGTAATAAAAAGGATTAGAAAACGCTATACAAGGTCCTCTTTAAAAGAAAGCCGATTTTATTATTTCTTCGAGCCTACGGCTATAAGGCGTACGTAATAACTAAGGACGCCTAAAAGAGCACTAATAGGCTATTAAATCGCATCGCTCCTCTTACCTATATCGGCTACGATTCCACTAATATCTTCCGTATCTAGGTACTAGGCCGCAGCCATAACCGTGTTATACGCACTGGCGATGTGGACTTTAAAGAATATACCTTCTTCGATATTAATATTAACGCCTTTAAGGATAACCTTCATTAATTAACCGAGGAATGACTAGTGGACCTGATTAGTTAGATTAAATAAAAGTGGACTAGAGATTCACGGCCGTTTATAGACGTATAAGATAAGGACCCCCCCCCCCCTTGTTTATATACCCGCTTATTTTGAGTTTAATATGCCCCTGCCCCTGCCCTCGCCGGGGCTAATTCCCCCCGATATATCCTCGGCGCGGTTCCTCTTTATTTAGATAGATTACCTTTATTCTACTCTATTTACTATAGTAAAGGTCGCCCTTTTAAAGCCTAGAAGCGCTAGGTCTAATAGTACTGGCTGGCTACGGATTTGCCTGGATAGGGCTTATCAGGAAGGCCCTTTAGAATAACTAAGAGAAGGCGGAAAAAAGAGATATATTGGTATAGCTAGGCCGCCTTTATAGGCGCTTAGCTTATAATAACCTCCGTTTCCCCGAAAAGCCACTACTAATACAGTGCTCTAGATAGGTAAAGTCGGCTTTTACTTAGTTAAAACCCGGCTGCGGATACCTAAAAACCCACTAAAACAGGGCCTTAAACTACGCTAACGACCGCTATTCCTATCCCGGCTCCCCTATACAGGATATAACCTGCCTTATACTTTCCTGCCCTTTTTATAAAAACGAACGAAAAGTCCTATAGGAAACCCTAGCAGGCCTACTCCTATATCTGCCGGTATTGTTTAGTACTAAAGGAGGAATATAGGCCTTATTAGCCTATCTTTTAGGTACTAAAATAGCCTCGATGGAGTGGTGCAGGGCGTAAACCTCGGATTCTGCGGCCTAGTTCATCTGTTTTGAGTTTTACCGATTTTGTACGTCAATAAGGCAAATTGTTACGGAGGATTTCCTTTATTTAGCACCGTTATCTACTGTATCTAGCTTCTACTAGCCTAATCGCCTTTAGGGCGATAGGTGCCGCGCGATAGCTCTAGGGCTACACGCCCGTAATGAAAAAAAGAAAACAAAAAGAACCTCGGAACCTGGATTAACGCCTTTAAAGGGAAGAATATAGATTACGTTTTATATATAGCCCCTTATTTCAGCAAGCGAACGACCTTTATTACAGACTCTTCGTATACTAGTATTAAACCGTATATTTGCTCCTTCATAGATAACCTAGTATCTATTTTCTGTAGCCTACGGTTATATTAAAAGAACCAAGAGGCGGGCTTATCTTTAAAAAAGTAACCCTGAATTAATAAAGTGGACTTTTCTATAGCTAGAGCTCTTTTTAGTCTTATTAATTTATTAAGTATCCTATAATCCCTTGAAATCATTAAAACTAAGCTTCCTACTATAGAAAAGATACGTAGAAAACCAGGTAATACAACTACCGCTAAGACTCTATAGCACTTATACTATCACGATCTCTCTAGGCCTGTCCTACTAGCACGTGCTATACACATATAGCTATAATTTCGAGCCGATTAGTACTACGTTAATCGATTACTACTAGCGATAGAGTCATTGTAATATAATAGCTAGTAATACACTTCTATCTCCTACTCTTACTTAAGGCTATAATAGTATAAGGAGAAGACCGGATAAAAGGCGCCGTCCAGATCTCTAGTACGGGGAAGAAGAAGGGCGAAGAAAGAATAGTATTTAATGGTTGCCTTTAGGCTTTAAAATCACGGCTATAAAGAAGCTGTGGAATACTCTCCTAATATTAATAGGCCCCCCTCCCCTAACCGCCTTGGCCCTATACAAGCCGGGTATCTTGGCTCCTTAGTAATTGACCCGGATCTTCGATAGTCTAGAAGCGATTAATGATATTAACCTAGAGAGATATAATTTCCAGCTTATGTCTGCTAAGATTAAAGCTAAAATGCATATATTAGTATAGAACGCTAAAGAACAAAGTCTTATATAGTAGAGAAAAGAAAAAGAGATAGGGGAAATGGATATAGTGCTGGCCGTTTCTAAGAAGTAGAGTTATGATAGTGTAGATAGTAATTTAGTTTATATATATTTCAATTCACTCTTAACTCCTACTATAGTATATATAGTAAATTATATTATATATATAAAATGAATATATACTTAGATCCCTTACTATACTTAGCGGCTCCTACTACTTTACTCGCAAAGTAGTTATTTTTACGGGGGCCTAAGCAAGGCCGTTATTATATAATAATAATTTACTAAAGATAATAAATCAACTGTATAGCTTATAAAATATACAATCTGAAATATATATAGGGAACTCACTAAGTATTATCTCTGAAATATGACTATAACCTGGTCAGTTTTAAGTTAATTACTCTAAAGGACTACTATTATGGAACTATTCCGACAGACACATAGTTATAAAAGACGGCCCGTGCGAGGTACACAAGACCTACAATGGGGACTCGACTCGGCCCTTGACAGGGCCTTTGTGGAAGCAGTACCCGACAGTTGACAGGTACGAGAACACACAAGTTTGTTCCCATGTCCAGCAAGGAGGCCACGATGCCGACAATATAGGCAGAGAATACACCGAATCATGAGTGCGAATACTGAGACAAGTTCTGAGGGTAAGCCTTTCGAGGACGGACCTTACATATTACGAACACTCCTGAAGGACGTGCCGTTGTCTGCGGATGGTGCCGACAATGGGACGAAGATCAATTGCGTTGAGTACTTTGGTGCGTGGCCGAGGACTACAGCACAAGCGAGTCGACAGCTGACAATCGCTATACAGACCACAATCTCTACATTGGAACGAACGCAGCCGAACTCCTTCACTACGTCCATATTCCCCCAGATGCAAACCATATGACTGCAAAGCAGACCTTCATCCTCGCGTCTAGGCTCCAACCGCCGTTCTCTGAATCGAGCACCACGCGGCCCGGAGTCCAACAGATCTTACTCCTGCCCAAGGTGTCGAAGGCATGCGTACTATGCAACTGGACCGTCACCTTCTACTCTCTGCCAGAGCTCAGTCCTGTCTTCGGCACTAAACAAGTAAAGAACTGTAACTGGGTTGGGGGAGTGGACTTGAATGAGTCACGTGAAGGCTCTGATGCTTCTTCCGCTGTTACGATCTTGCTGTCTCTGAATCGAAGAATACAAGTCGTAAGAGTGGGAGATGATGCGACGGCCGTCAAGGTTTGGCACCCTGTCGCCAGCCCAGAACTCATAACCGATTCTAATTTCTATCATAGAAAATCGACATTGGGGAGAGCATTGTTTCCGTACGACGAGACTCAATCGCGTGCGTGGCTGATTCCAGGAGCTATGCTTTGTTGGACATTGACAGGCAGTTGAAAATCCCGCTGATGAGCATTTCGTCCGTGGACGACTTTCAACAATCCAGTTCAATCGGCCGAGCCCTAGACGTTACCGGGAGTCATGACGCAGCTATTTCAAGAAGCGCTTCGGCTGCCCAGAACCGTCGTTTCTTGAGTCCGAGTGACTCCCATGGTCATACTAGAAGTACAAGCTTGGGGGGCGCCGTATCCAGTGGTATACAGGACAACAATCTCAAGCCATCTGATATTCACCGGCTGTCACAGGATTCAACTGCAGACAAGCCACTACCAGGTCTCCCAGACAGCACCACCACCGATCTCCCGCACTGCGATGTCCCAGCGAGGCCACGGCCACGGCCCGTCTTCCTGAAGCCGCACATTGTCTCGCCGACCCCGGAGGAGTTTCTTGTTGTCACAGGCACAGGACCATCAGAGCCAGGCATTGGACTTTTTGTAAATCTCGACGGTGATCCTACCCGACCAACCATCCAGTTCGACCGATACCCACGGGATGTTGTTGTTGACGAGGGCCTATCCGATTCACGCACGCAATATCCAGCTCCCACTGACGGAGACGACGGATACATCATTGCGTCTATGACGAAGAGCTCTGGCGGTGCACTTCACCATGGTCTCGAGATCCAGCGATGGACTAGCGAGGTCGCGGGGACAGAACCGTCGAAATTTTGGCTTGAGGCCGATGATACGTCGACAGCCCTGGGCATAGGGTCAGTTTCTGAATGGGGCGAGACTTTTTTTCGTGAAGTAGTGGACGGGCTACGACAAACAAGATTCTCACTGTTCGCCCTAGACAATTCAACGTTGTTGCGGAAGACGGGCGACTCCGACATTAACACATCTCTGGACCAAGTCATTGGAGAGCGGAAGTTGTTTGATCGGGACACCGATACGCAGAGCGACGACGGCTCCCTATCTGAGGGTTGGGAATTCAGGCGGAATGCCGAAGAAGAAGGGTATGCTTCTAGGTTCGCGAGGGCATATTCGCGGTTAGCCGTCTGGTCTGGGAACCGCATCTGGTGGGCAACTCGTAAGCCCTTGCTTCTCCGGCTAGATGCCCAGCTTGACGCTGCATATGCACACGGGCACGATTCCAGTCCCTTGAGCATTGACCGCCGTGCAGTCTTACGTGTTTTGAAATTGATCCGGGGGAGAGATGCGAGGTCAGAAGTTGAATTTGTATCGCTCAGCTACATCCGCCAGAAAGCGGGCATCATGCTCCTTGATGATTTCCTAAACCCAAGTGGCACCCCTTTTTCGGACACGGAGGTCAAGGCATTGGAGGAGGTTTTGGCTGAAAGCTCACTCGATGCTCGCGTCGTCATCTCGCTGATTCCCGGTCTTCGCAATGAAGTCGTGGAAAGTCGCAAGGGAATTTGGGTATTCGACGGTGTCAAAAAGACCGCGGAACAGCACTTACGGCGGAACACCTTCGAACAAGGAAAGATGCCATTTTCGACACTTGATACTAGCATTTTCCAGTTCTTGCGACGATTCCTATCGTCGTGGAGGAAAAAGAAGGGTTTCGGGAGTGTGCCGGATGATAGGGAGGTCTTCCGGACGGTGGATGCGGCACTCTTAACGGTTCTTCTGGAGCTGGATCGGCGCTCCCCAGTCTCCCACGTGAGGGCTGAGCTGTACGAGATGGTCGATAAGGGGGTTGATTGTTTCGACCGAGCCATCTCCCTACTGGAATCCTATCACCGATTGTTTGTCCTCAGTCGACTCTACCAAAGCCGAAAGATGGCCGGTGATGTGCTTGGGACATGGCGCCGTATTATTGAGGGCGAACGGGATGACGGGGGCGAATTTCGCGATGGCGAGGCTCGCGTTCGAGACTATCTCACCAAAGTCAGCAGCCAACCTCTCGTGCGCGAATACGGCATCTGGCTCGCAAATCGCAACCCGAAGCTGGGTGTCCAGGCTTTCGCAGAGGACGAGGGCCGGGCACCGAAATACGCACCAGCCGAAGCCATAACTATACTTCGTGATGAAGCACCCAGCGCGGTCAAGTACTACTTGGAACATCTCGTCTTTGGGAAAGGCCAAACAGCCTTTGTTCAGGACTTGATAACCTATTATCTTGATATCATTATTGGCGAATTAAGATCGTCCGAGACTAGCCGGGAGACTTTCGCGGCCACGTATGTGGCATATCGCGCCCTCCAGACACCTAAACCAACATACCAACAGTTTTTGACAGACAACGCGCCAGCATACAACGAAGTGTGGCAAGGTCGCCTGCGGTTATTGCAGCTCTTAAGCGGAACATGCGAGTATGATACATCCGCCATAAGGGAACGCATTAGTTCCCTTCCAGACGAACTTCTCGTCCCAGAAACAATCATCCTGGATGGGCGTGAGCAGCACCATGAAAATGCCATTCGTCTTCTCGTCCACAAACTGGGCGATTACGATACCGCTATTTCGTACTGCATCCGGGGTGGCTCTAGTATCTACGCCCGATCCAGCCAGAAACGAGACAGCATGCCAACACATCAAATGCAGGCACGGCTGTTCCGTGCTGTTCTGGGAGAGTTCCTCTCCATCGAAGACGTCAGCGACCGTGTCGAACAGACGAAGTCGCTCCTGGAAAGGTTCGGAGGCTGGTTCGAGCTTGATGACGTACTAGCCTTGATTCCAGATAATTGGTCTGCCAGTGTCGTCTCGGGTTTCCTCGTCCGGTGTGTACGCCGCCTTGTCCAAGAACGGCATGTAAGTTCGGTAAAGAAGGGCCTGAGTTCAGCTGAGAACTTGCGTGTGGGTTTCGACTTGATTTGCAGAGTCGAAGAACGAGGCCCGTCAATTCAAACATCGCAGTGCGACCTGTAAAAACCGAGCCCATTTCTGCTCGCGCCTAAATGCTAACTGGGTTAAGCTTCTATGTAAGCGGGATGAAGATAAAGCTTGCGCAACACTTCCCAGCCCCTTTATTCTCGAAACTGGACAGTGACTGGCCTGTCTGACCTTCTCACATACTAGTTCCCTGTGTCTCCTATCCATGGACATCTATTGTCTGTGGGTGGATAATTTACCGTCCGCAACGGTAGCCGGTTCGAAAGTGCCCACCCGCATAACGGGCAAGTCCTTGCCGTTGTCCGTCCCTCCCCCTACAGAAAAGGCACTGCGAATACAGAGACGAGAAGAAGCACGCCTATGATTGAGCATATCTAGTGCGGCGTGGAGCGTGGCACTTTTGCTTCATTGAGAGGCTTGATACATTTTCTGAACCTACTTCGAGGTCCGCCCAGGTCGTGACTATCACGGCCCTTCTTGACCGTCTTCGGCCTTGCGCTTCAGCACAGCGACCACAAGCCACCGCCTCTCGCCGCTAAAGTTATCAACTCGTCTATCAGGATTCCACTCCCTTTCGGCACCGAGAACATCTCGCTCCCATATTCTTTCCACTTCCAGACCCACAGGGCCCAACTGGGCTGTGTAAAAAAAACCGCGCACCTTACCTCGCCCCGTGTGGAAGCCGGCCACAACCCAGACCCTGGCATTGGACGATGGCGCCAGAAACCAGCAAATAGATGCGAGGAGGTTAGCTTGTTGCCATGGCATCCACAGACAATCGGCAACAAAAATGCTGTCGAAGGCGTGGCGGTTGGTACCGGCAAAGTCACTGTTGTCCAAGTCGCCCCAGGCATGGCCCTCGATGATAATTTGGTCAGTTACCTTACCAAGCAGCGAGCTGGTGGCGGTAACATTCCGAGCCACGTTTCCGTTTAGCGTGGTTAGAACAGTCAGGGCGGGGTAGTCGGTGATGACAACCCTGCTGGCACCTAGCAGGCCGGCCATGATGCTCGGTAGCGCGGTTCCGGCGCCGAGCTCTATGGTGTGTTGGGCGCGAACATTGAAATGGTATGGCTCCGGTGACAGGACACCCTTGCCACTGGCGGGCGCGTCGAGGCCCAGGCTCCCCGCTTCGATGAGCTCGGCCAGCAGGAGAGATGGATTCCAGAGATAATGGCTGAACAGCTTCCGGTCCGCTTCTCCAGCAGGATCGGCAAGTTCGAAATGCAAGGGCTTGGGAAGCTAAGTCGAGGTATAAAGGAGGCCATGATCGGCGTCACCGTGGACATTAAGCTGGTCGTTGGGGTCGAGAGTAGATAGGGCGGTAGATAAGATATCCTCGGGGGAGGACACAGGAGGACCGGTTAAGGAGATTCTGTCGACGAGGTTCATCATAGAGCACCATCAAGAACAGCGGGAAGACGGTAGCATATTTCAAGCGGAGTTCGAAACTTGTAGAGAATGTGCCATGTAGATTACAGCCTTAGACCGCGCGTTCACTCCAAATTGATTGTATTGAAGCCGTTAAACGTTGTAAAAACGTGAGGTTGTAGGAGGCAAAATTAATGCCCGACGATCCTACGAATATCCACCTTCCGTGCCTAAACGTCTTATCGGCCGTTAGCTTATCCGCCTCCGCACCTATTTAGAGATATCTATACGATACACCCCCTTAACTGCCTAAATATACTAAAAGTATAGGTAGTTAAAGCTATTTATAGCTAACCGATACTACCGGTACTATATAGCCTTTCTTAAATTTATTCTCTAAGCGTTCTAAATAATCTGTTAAGACTTCCTCTAGCTTCCTTTACTAGAGGCGTTCCCCTATATCTACCACGCCTACCTAGGCTCGAAATACGATAAATTTATCGCCCGCTAACACCTGTATTAATCCTTCTACTATTATTTCGGCGCCCATAATATAACTAAAGTTAATCCTCCCTTACTTCCGGGCTTCTCGTAGCTAGTAGTTATAGAAATTTATATACCGTAAACTCGTACTTAATATAGCGATCTTAATATTTACTAGCGGGAGTATCTAATTATTATTATATAAGATTTATAGTTACCGTTCGTTAAATTCTACCCTTATCTATAATAGTACTTACTATATAAAGATACCCTCCTCCTGCACGTTATAGAGGTCCCCGCATATTCGGGGGGATATTTATTAGCTTACGTGCTAATAAGTGGAACCACACTGCCTCTAGCACGTACCCTCTTTAGGGGGGAGGGTATATACCCTACTATGCGTAATTAATTGCACCCACACACACACACTACACCTACGATCGAGCCCTAGAGCCTACGGAACTCTAGGGAGCGCGCACCACCACTTAAGGACAAGTCCTAGACTAATGATTCCGGATCGCCTATTCTTTACTTTTATATACAGGTTATGTAAATAACTAGATACTCGTTATAGGCTTGGTCTCTTTAATAGAGTCGTGCCATAGGTTTAGGGCTGCATGCATGTATTAAACAGAAAAGAAAAAAGATACCCTCCTAAGCTTCTTAGGCTAGGGATAATAGCTCTGCCTCCATTATTAATATTATTACCATTACGTACTTATTAGCGCGCTACACGATTATACATCCGAAAAAACATATCATAAAGCCTTGACTACTCTTCCGATCTACTGTATTATCAGTAAATAAGGCGCCGGTATATACCTTAATTATACCCCTACCCCGTATCTTCAGGGTATCCATTTAAGTGGCCAGTAGATATCGGATTAAATAGTTAGGGGTAGCGTAATAGGATTCCCGGGGTTAGTATTAAATTAGTTTAGCCGCTAGCTATAATCGTCGTTATAATAGTTTTATCGACTTTACTCGAATTACACGGCCGTGGTCGATAGACGTGGCGTTTTAGAGGGTGGGTTATAGAAGTCGTGGCCTCTTATCGGGGGGTGCTATTAAGCTATAACTATAGCTAGGTCGAAGCTAGTTCTTTTAGTCGATGCCGGACGTAGAGTATCGCGTTATATAAGGATAATACCATTATTATATAGAATAGCGGTGTTTAGCCCCGCGAGATCGTGACGAAGATCCGGATCCCGGAATCCTTTTTAGGGTTTTCTTCGAGTAGGTAAGTTCCGTAGATCGCGAGGTCTAATATTATAAACCTACTAGCCTATTACCGCCGTGAAAAATATACTAGGAGGACTCTAATTTAATAGCTTTACGAAGTAAGCTATCTTTACCTATTACGTTAACGTATAATAACTTATTAGTAAATTAATAATCAGGACCTCTTTTATTACCGTGATCGCCGCGATTAACTTAACCGAATTTAATACCTTTTTATCGCGCCGAAATTAATAATTAACCTTATATAATAAGCCCCTGACATCCTGGTTATCGATATAACCTATAAAACTAATATATTCTATATACTATTACTTAACTTTTATAGAATATCGCCGCTCTAGAAGTCCTTCTAGATCGCGATCGTCTTTATAGATAGAGAGAAGGAGTATTAATATACCTAGGCGCTTAAGGCTTTAACCGATTTTATTTTAGCCGAGGGTTTACCGCTACTATAATATATTATTACAGACTAAGAGCTCGCCTTAATAAACCCTGAATCGCGATATAAGCTTAAGACAAGTTTCTAATATTCTATACCGTTAGTATATTAATATAAATATACTGGTAAAGACTAAGGGCTCCTTTCCTAAGCCTATAAGGCTGCCTAGCGGCAGGGTAGAACGGTATACTACGTTCTATGCCTTTTTAAAGGATTAGAATTCGTTAATTTTGAGCCTAATAGTTAAGGTCTTCTCGGAGCGACTCTAAGTATTTAAGTAACGGGGTAAGTACCTAGAAAAGGCAGTTAACTACGCCTTAGGCACCTAGATTAATGCCTTTAAAGAGACGATTATAGATTACTATCTAAATCGTGTGCCCTATTTAATAACCGAACTACCTCTATCCCTGTCAGAACACAAATAAGGTACGCGGAATTATATGCGTATTCATCTAAGTGAAGTTTATAATACTTCACGGGAATATCTAACTATACGGAAAAAGCAGGGGAAATAAGGGTGGATACATAGGACCGAGGTACTCCACACGTCTAACACTATATAGTTTATCACACGCCGATAAGGTGGCTATAGCATCTGACAATCCCAGAGTCTTCGCATACTAGCCTTAAACGGTATATCTACTCTTTTACCGGCGACCTAGTAACTATTTTCGTAGCCTATAGTTATATTAAAGTAACTAAAAGGCGGACCTAGCTTTAGAGAGGTAGCGTTAAATTAATAGAATAGAGTTTTCTAGAGCTAGAGTTCTTTTTAGCCTTATTAGTTAATAGATTATTATATACGCTTTTAAGTAGCTTAAAATTAAGCTCGCCGCCTTAAAAAAGGTCTATAAACAGAACCTATTATATCAACCACTACCGCCGCCCGGGCTCTATAATCCTTATACTATTACGATTAGCCTAGGCTTACCCTATTAGCACGTACTATATAACTATTATTATAGTTCTGAGCCGCTTAGTATTACGTTAATTAATTAATACTAGCGATAGATTCGCCACGAAGTAGTTATAGCGAATACGGGTACTACGTTTCTGCCTCCTAGCCTTAGGCCCCTAGAGCCTATACCGGTACGTGGAAAAGGCCGGCTAAAAGGAGCTCTTATAATATTCAGCACGGGAAAGCAGAAGGGCCATGAGAATAATAGTACTAAACGGCTCCCTTTAAGCTTTAAAATCGCGGCTATAGAAGAGTAATGCGATACCTTACCACCCCCTGCCCTCCTATTACTAACGGCCCTGCCTGCCCTAGCTATATACGAGGTGGGTATATAGGCTCCTTAGAAGTATGCCCGGATTTTCGATACCCTAGAGTTAGTTAATAAAGGCGACTTAGATACGTATAATTTGGAGCTTACTTCTGCTAAGTTTAAGGGTAAAATAGATACGTTATTAAGGAGCGCTAAAGAAGAGACCTTTAGTTGGCAGGAAGATACTAAAGAGATAGAGGAAATAGAGACGGTGCTAACTATTCTTAAAGAATAGGTTATCTTAGTAGTTCGTGATACTTAGTATAGTGGTTTAGTGCTTTAGTTTATATTTGCCGATTAATTACAAAGAGACTATAACTGTGTGTTTTGGTACTCGAAGTGTATATATAAAATAGGTTAGTACTTAGGTAGCTTATTATGCTTGGCGAGCCCCACCGGTTTACTGGCAAAATAGTTATCTGTACTGGCTCCCTGTTAGAGCCCATAATTTATAGGTCTATATCAGAACTATAGTCGAAATATCCTAATAGTATAGTCGGAATATCCAGCCTCTATAACTACCCCGCTATAGTACTAATAGGGTTATATTATATTATTCTTATAACTTACTTAGGGAGGCCCACGTTCTATATGCAAACGCTCTAAACTACTCGAAATCTATATTAATCTATAACTCTTTTTAAGTTCTATAGGCCTATATATAGCCCTGTATCGCGTAGATATTAGTTATAGCGTATTATAAGTTCGAAAACGCCTGAAACTAGGCTTCCGGCTACCCTGCGTACGGGGGAAAAGTCCGACATGGCTCGTGCGCCTACGCTAAGAAAGCAGCAAGCCTTGCAGAGTAGAGCCGTAACCACTAATATCATATAACCCCAACGCTATAAACAGGACCGTATAAGCCATAACACTAGTCGTAATAACGCCTTAAACTATAATAACGCCGACCGTAAGGCCCCTAGAACCGCCTCCTAGGCCCGTATAGTTAGAGAGGGCTTAGATAATGTGGAAATAGGTAAGGCCTCTAAATAAGCTTCTAAAAGCCCTGTAAATATAGTGAACTTAACCTTCGTTACGCCTCTTAATTCTAAAAGACAGCTTAGCCCCTTTACCCCGACCCCTAGACGATTGTCTAGGACCCGAACTAAGCTCGCCTCTGATTATAAGGCCGACAGCCTCTTCTAGACTTGCTCTAGGCCCCCTCTTATTAAAAAGCAGGGCCTTATAGGCTTTAAATAGACTAAAAAGACACCTAGAATACCTAGAAGCTCTGGAGACTCTTTTACTATATCCTAGAAGTCGATTATTTCGGGTAGTAAGGCCTAGGCTACAGAACTACTCTAGCAGGCTCTTTAGCTAAGCTAGTAGGCCTACGACCTCGATCCTGCCCCCTAGATTAAGGCCCTTACTATAAGGCTTAGATCTGCTATCGACGGAGCCCTAGAATCCTAATAGCTACCCACGCTTAAACAGAAGGTCGACGAACTAGCTTAGGCAGTTTATAAGCTTATAGATTAGCCCTAACTCCTTTATAGCGCGGCTTTAAAGAGGAGAAAAGGCCCCATAGCACCCCGGGCCCCTATAGTTCCATAGGGTCCGGCTTTAGCACCTTTACTACCTACCTATTC